AGGAAGGACTGAGCCAGCCCAAAACATAATCCTTTGGGCTAAGCCTGATGGGATGTATTATATTTTGAGCTGAAGGCTAAAGCCCAGTCTGTCTCCAAGGTCCCAACTTAACTTTCTCTAAGTGGGTTAAAGCAAATGGTAGTCCCTGTATTTAGCATTTTAGTTCTCTAACATCTTTATACATTAAAATTGTTCATTGGGGTTTCCGATCCCTGCAACAGCGTTGAATTTTGTAGCTAATCTAAGCCCCCAAACTTTAATTGATGCATATAAGCCCCTAAACTCTGCAATCGAAGCAATTTAGCCTCTACTCTCACAGCCAACTTTAACTGCTATTAACTGCTGTTTGAGGACTACCTTGTGTGGTGAAATATGGCCGTCTCATGCTTATGTGGCAAGGAATTTGGCACACGATTTGTCCACTTAGATGCAAAAAAAAAAAAGAAAAAAAGATTTAGAATTAATTTTTTTATATTATTTTTTTGTACAACCTTACATATCATTTAAATAATTAGATCTTTTAATTCATGAATTTGTCTAACTTATACTCTAAAGACATATGTTAAGAATGCAATATAAGCATTTTTTGTAATAAATTTACGTTAAAAAATAAAAGTTAACCTTTAATTTTTCAACTATCTAATTAAATTCATTCATTTAACACTAACACTAAAATTAATATTAATTTTTTACATTTTTTATATACATTTATGATAAGAAAAAAATACCCTTAACTTGTGCCATAGGAGTACAGGTTAGAAAAATCCTTTATTTATTTAGAATTTTTGATATTAAGTGCATTCATTCATTTAATAATATGTTGATAGAGGCAGCAAAATCTAACCTAACCTACTAACTCAATATTAACCCAACCCATAAAAAGCGGGTTAGGGTTAGCTACTATTGAGCCTGTGACCCGTTCGAGTCAACCCAAACGGGTCACAAGTTATACATAGGTCAATCTGTGGGTTCACAGGTTAATCCATTTGACTCATTTATTTTTAAAATATTTTTATTAGGTATTTTTTTAAAGCACAATAACTTA